GGGCCTAGCATGATGGCCTAATCCTCGCCTTGCTTGTGCCGGGATCCCATAGGGCTCTGGTTCGTGTCCCAGCTGCTCCACTTCCCATCCAGCTCCCTGCTTGTGGCCTGGGAAAGCAGCAGAGGATGGCCCAAGTCCTTGTGACTCCGTGCCCATGTGGGAGACCCCAAAGAACTCCTAGCTTCAGATTACCTCAGCTCCAGCCATCGCAGATATTTGGGGAGTGAACCAGTGGTGGGAAGACCTTCTCTATCTCTCCTCTCCATAAGTCTACCTTTCCAGTATATAAATAAAACGAATAAATAAATTATAAAAGGCAATCCTTCTTCCATACCCATTTTCAGTATCTCAATCTGTTAGTTCATTCCTACCAGCACTGAAACAACCCCTAACACTTTCCAACTTCAGTTCTGTTTTCACTCCTTGTACTATACACATTGTTTTTAAGGTTTATTTATTTTTTATTGGAAAGTCAGATATACAGAGGAGGAGAGACACAGAGGAAGATCTTCTGTCCGATGATTCACTCCCCAAGTGGCTACAACGGCCAGTGCTGCACCAATCCAAAGCCAGGAGCCTGGAGCTTCATCCGGGTCTCCCACACGGGTGCAGGGTCCCGAGGCCTTGGACTGTCCTCAACTGCTTTCCCAGGGCACAAGCAGGGAGCTGGATGGGAAGTGGAGCTGCCAGGATTAGAACTGAGGCCCATATGGAATCCCAGTGCATTCAAAGTGAAGACTTTAGCTGCTAGGCCACCGTGCCGGGCCTATACACACATTTTTTTTAAACTTTGAATACACACACTCTTATCCATACTTCCTCATCACAAATTCACTTACACATCATGTGTGGGCAAGAACATAGTAACATTACTTCATTGTCACTGAACAAAATCTAGCTGTTGGTCTCCTGTTTAAGATAGGCCACAATCAAATCAGAATGCTTCTCTCTTCAACACCCCACCCCCACCTCCACCCTTCAGTCTCTTCTCCTGGAGGTGACTACATTCTGAGGAGTTAAGAGACCTGGCCCAAGTAGAGGGTAACTGTAACTTTGTATACTGCCTTTTGTCCTAACTCCCAGCAAACTGACCACTGCACTTGGTGGTTGAGTAACAGCTTCCATGCCAGCAGCACCTGCTGAGATAACCAAAGCCTATCCTCCTTAATCATCCTTCTATGCCCCACTGCCCACTTACAAACCATCACTACTGTATTTTATCTAGACTAACCCAAGTTCTTGACTACTCTCCCTATCTCCACTCTTGCTACTGTCCATTCATTAAAAACACAGCAAAGTTTTAAATCATCATATATTAATGTTTAGAAAGCTACATCTCCTAACAGTGCTTAGAAAAAAAATGTGTTGCAAATATTAAGCTTCTTCATCCCCATCCTAATAAACCTTAATAAACTGACTCTCAAACGTCCTACCTTCACTTACAGAATATATGCTTTTTCAGTCCATGATTTCCACCAGTATCATCCTTTCCTAACAGGGCATTTCCAAAAAAACACCTCCTAGCTGTCCAGCTGCCATAATTAATATAAATATTGTATCACTGCTGTATTTATTACAATAGAATTGTGTTTCACATTGATGGCTGACTATTCCCAACAATGTGCTTCTAAGGTGACGTTCTATATCTCTTAGCCATCTCCCTAGCTCCAAAGACGAGCACAAAGCAGACACTCAAATATTTGCTAATGGAAATGAACTCAAAGTCACCACCACTGTCAAAAAAATATGTTCTTAGTAAGTTTCTTACATACTCATGCAAAACAAGTTTACGCTGTATGATGCACTTTAAAGAAATGAGACGCTCATTTCCTTCACAATACTACCTGAGATCTATTACCAAAAACAAAACAAAACAAAACTTTCAGAAGAGCGGCCCTATCTCTTTTACCAGAAAGCTAGCAGCATTCAAAAAATTAAAATGACTTCCCAGGGGAACAAGTTCCACCCAGTCGGTGTCATGTTTTTTCTGATTCAGAAAAAGTATGAACTTCAAGTGCTGATGAGGGGCATCCTGGTCAAAGACCAATCTAGACAGCCAAAACACGTGTTCCTCTTTCAAAGAAATTATTCAGTGATTGTGGATTACATTTATAATCAGAAACAAAAAGGTAAAAATTGAAAACGGGAATGTGTGTGTCTTATTTCCCGCTAAAGCTTTCAAGAATATTGCTACTATACCCTGCCCTGCTAAGCCCACATTTCCAAACTACATGTGGTCCTTGCACACTGCTGCAACACAGAGACACAGAACTTTAGGAGCACGCAGAGAAACCTGTCAAGAAACTTTAGTTTCTAAAAGTATCGAGAACCAAGGATGAGGCCCAGGGTTCTATCTGGAGAATACACTCAGGTAGGCAAGCTTAGTAACTCAATCACAATAATCGAGTCTAACTTTGGAGGCCAAAATATGCCAGCAAGAGGGAAAAAAAAAAAAAAACAAAACTCTGCATTACCAGCAGAGCATGATTCTTTAAAAAGGCACCCAATACCGCTATCGATCCACAGCCAGAGCCAAACCTGTCCTATGCTTCTAGCAACTGTCGCTGCCACTGGAGGGTCTGTCTTAGGGAACAGGGTTGCAATGGGGAAAGCTCCAGCAATCCACACTGGTGCTGGTTCGCGTCCCAGCTATTCCACTTCCTGTGACTGGCCTGGGGAAAAGAAGGGAGAAACGGCCTCTGCCCACCAGCATGGGAAACTCCTGGCTTTGGTCTGCCCAACGCTGGTCACTGTGGCCATCTGGAGAGTGAAGCCCTGGAAGAAAAGATCTCCATCTCTGCAACTCCAACATTCAAATAAATAGATAAATCTTTAAAAACACAAATTTGATTTATAAGCTGTCTTTCTAATCCCAAATACAAAACGTTTGAACATTTGCTTTGACAAGAACTTCTGCAAGATCTTGTTTTTTCCACAGTAAACAGCATAATAACTAACCCAGGCATCCAGGGAATTCCTCAGGCTGGCAAAGCCAGGAACCGAGGCTTAAGGCTTTCCTCACAACTCCACAGTGAAGACCATATTCAGAAAGATTTCATACTAAGCGAGAGAGAATACGGGAAACAAAGTCAAATGCAGCAGAAGAGCAATGCCTACAAAGAAACTATAAATCACTGTGACCAATCTGAAGCACAGTGATGACCAAGTAGAGCCGTTTTCAGTACAACAACAGGAATATACAGAGATGAGTAGAGCACCAGGAAATCAGCTGCCTCAAAGAACACATTTCCCCACAGATTTTCTTAAGTCATCTTTACTATCCCCTTAATCCACTGTTTATTTGGCTCTGTGGAGGGTTTCAGATGAAATGTAAAGAAAAGCTGACAGAAGAGTCTAAACAAAAAGTGACTGCAATAATCTCTTCTTCCATAATCTGAAAAAATCAGGCACGCCTACTATAAACAGATACATAATTACTAAGGACTCACAGCTACAAATCTTTTCATTTTAAAACTAGCTTCTAGGGCCCCGCGCGGTGGCGCAAGTGGTTAAAGGTCCTCGCCTTGCACACCCCCGGGATCCCATATGGGCGCCAGTTCTAATCCCGGCAGCCCCGCTTCCCTTCCAGCTCCCTGCCTGTGGCCTGGGAAAGCAGTCGGGGACGGCCCAAAGCTTTGGGACCCTGCACCCGCGTGGGAGACCCAGAAGAGGCTCCTGGCTTCGGATCAGCATAGTATCGGCCCGTTGCGCTCACTTGGGGAGTGAATCATTGGACGGAAGATCTTCCTCTCTGTCTGTCCTCTCTGTATATCCACCTTTCCAATGAAAAAATTATAAAAAATAAATCTTTAAAACTAGCTTCTAGAAAACTAGTAGAAACTAGTAGAAAACAGTAGGTTGAAGTCAGTTAAAACACTCACCCTTCAAAAGAAACTCAAAAAGTAAGGCAGAGACTTCAACAGGCAATGTGTGTTTGCAACATCAGGAGCTCTAACATAAAGAGAAAAACAGCAAAAGATCCGAATACTTCACAAAAGCAGATATAGCAAAACTCTGCTATTCCTGTAAAAAGGTACTCAACACCAAAACACCGTAACATCTCAATCCATGTCTATTACAAAGACTACAACTAATAAGATCGATCATACCAAGTGTATGGAAGCAGGTGGGGAAAAAAAAAACAGACTCCCATGCGTTAACAGTGTTGATGGAAAATGTTACTGCTTTAAAAGTCTCTTAGAAAACACCTTTAATGTGACCCTGCAACTCCTCTCCCAGGGATTTTCATATAAGAAATGCACCATTTATGTCTACCCAGAAAACATCCGTGAGTGTCCACAGGAGGTTTACTTGTAATCGTTAAGAACTGGAAGCAACCCAAAGTACCATCAACAGAAAAAGACATCCCTAACGAAGCGAACTCTACTTAACCCGGAGAAGAAATGAGCTACTACTACTTGCAACGATAGACATACATCTCAAAGTAGCAAGGTTGAGCAAAATATAAGCCAGACAAGTACGCCCCAAAACACAGCATATACTGTAGGTTTCTACAAAATACGTCTAGACTGTCAAAGGGACGCAGAAGACGCAAACTAACCTACAGTGACACCGAGTAGATGAGTGGTGGCCTACAGAGGAGGGGATTGCCCAGAGGCAGGCAGTGTCTGTCTCCTGGGATACATCTGTGTGTCGCGTCTACATTTACCAAACTGCACGACTAGGAAGTTTATGATGTCTCAACCTCAAACTGCTACGAAACTCGCTTCGCAAACGCCTGCCTGCCTGCCCGTCTTGCTGCAGCTCCTGACTTAGAATCCGTCCCGTCCCCTCCCTCGGGAGCTAGAAAGTCCTTCCAACAAGTACCTGCGTCCTGCTCTCTGGCCACACTCGGCGAAGCAGGTGCAGTGACGGGTCCGTCCTCCCTCCTCCCACCATCCCGTCCCAGCTCCCCAAACGCTCGGCAAACCCAGCTTCTTGGGAGGAAAGCGCCTACAGCCGTGCCCGGCCGGGGCTGGACCACCTCCCGCCCAGGGTACCTGCAACCGGCTGGCCGCGCCGCGGACAGTTGAGCCACCGCGGCGGGATCTTGTTTTGAGCCATGTCTCGGGCCGTGCAGTGCGCTCCGCCTGTCGGACGCCCGCCGCGCCTCGACCGCCGCCTCCCCGCCGTCCGATCCCCACCGGAGGCCGGCGGCACCCGAACGCCGAGCGCGATGCGAACGCCGGCCGCTCCCGGCCGGGACCGTCAGGGGCCGCGCGCCACTTTCATTCAGGCTGCACTCGGCGGCTCAGGCGAGCCCACAATGCACCGCGACTTCCGCCCTCTCAAGCCTCCGCCTCCTTCTTTCCGAGGGCAAAGGGGAGAGCTGCGGGGAGTTAAGGCCAAGGCGAATGGGAGGAGCGGATCTGGCCCCGCCCCACGTGGCCCCGCCCCCGCCCGGCCTGGGCGCGTGCGCAGTCGGCCCGCTCGGGCTCCCCCTCCCCCAGGGCTACGTGTCCCGTATTTTCTTTTCCCACGTACGTCACTGACAGACACGCCCGGATGGAAGGGCGGCGAGCTGTTCCTCGTCACGCCTGCTGCCGCTGGCCGGCCGTCCTCCTGAAGGCGCCTGTTGGACTGGGCCTCCCTCCACCGTCACAACCCTTGCTTTGTGTCCGGGCCCTTGAAGCCGCTGAGATCCCAAGCGTTTTAACAATTCTGCTTGTGGGGCAAAATTTGCTATTTTTTAAATTTACTTACTTTTGAAAATTTATTTTTATTGGAAAGGCAGATATGCAGACAGGAGGGAAAACAGAGAGGAAGATCTTCCATCCGATGGTTCACTCCCAAGAGGCCAGAACTGCCAGAGCTGAGCCAATCCAAAGCCAGGAGCCTGGAGCTCTTCTGGGTCTCCCACGCGGGTGCAGGGTCCCAAGGCTTTGGGCCGTCCTCGACTGCTTTCCCAGGCCACAAGCAGGCAGCTGGATGGGAAGTGGAGCTGTCAGGATTAGAACCAGCGCCCATATGGGATCCCGGGGCACAAGGCAAGGACTTTAGCTGCTAGGCTACCTCGCTGGGCCCAAAAATTTGTTTTTTTACGATACGGCTCCACAGCACAGGGGTTTCTCCATCAACCCTCCTGTTCCCCGCCACTGTTTTCCCCCATGGTATTTCAATAGGGTGGTCCTTCAGCAGCAGTCACAAGTCTCTCATTCTGCTATTTAGTTTATCATGGAATTTTAAGTGGAGCAAACTTTGAACAAGTACTCAGGGGGCCTCTGGCTCAGGAAAGAATGGTACCTAATGCTAACACGGTGTAGTTAGGCGCGTCAGACAGGTGGGCATCTGCTGTCAGGCGGCCTTCAGATCCAGCTTCACGCTGAAGCCTGTCTGGCAAGTAGGTAGGACAACTAGCCAGCTTGCCCAGGCCATCTCTGCCGCTCAGCCTTTAAAGAGAAAATAATTAAAGTTGAAGCGATTGAAACTGTTTCCTATGGAAACAGGAATATTGAAACAGGAAGCAATTGAAACTGTTTCCTATTGAAAACTTCAATAGGAGCTGCATGTTAATGGGCTCCTTTCTTCCAGCCTCCTGGGTAAATGATCCCTCTCTGTTTCAATTGAGCAGAGATACTTGAAAGCACTTTTTAAAAATTATTTTTATGGGGCCTGGCACAATAGGGTAGTGGTTAAGGTCATCGCCTTGAACGTGCCGGGATCCCATATGGGCGCCAGTTCTAGTCCCTGCAGCCCTGCTTCCCATCCAGCTCCCTGCATGTGGCCTGGGAAAGCAGTTGAGAATGGCCCAAAGCTTTGGGACCCTGCATCCACGTGGGAGACCCAGAAGAGCTCCTGGCTCCTGGCTTTGGATCGGCACAGCTCCAGCCTTTGTGCTCACTTGGGGAGTGAACCATCAGACGGAACATCTTCCTCTCTGTCTCTCCTCTCTGTATATCTGCCTTTCCAATAAAAATAAATAAATCTTTTTTTAAAATTATTTTATGTATTTAAGAGGTACAGACACCTTAGCCCAAATGGTAGCAGGGCTGGGCCAGGCCCACGCTAGGAGCCAGGAACCGCGTCAGGGTTGGTTTCTGCTGTTTAACCAAGTGCATTAGCAGGAAGTTGAATCAGCAGTGGAGCATCCAGGACTCCAAGCAGCTCCTATGCGATGCCAGGCATAACAGGCCACAGGTTAACCTGTTGGGCCACAATGCCAGCCCCGCGAAGCACTTTATAATTGCCTCTTGTAATGAGACACAACTAAAGAATTAAATATAAAACTTAATGATGGCAAATTAATGATGAAGTGTTTTGACTTCAAACACTAATGCTGTTTGTGACCTGTTAAGAATGTGAGGCTATAGAAAATACATTTTTAAATTTTTTTAAGATTTCTTTTTCTTGAAACGGCAGTTCTACAAAGATTGCCGGAGTCCAGCTCCAGCTGAGTTTGGAACTAGAGAAGGATGCGTCCACATGGACCCCAGCAAAAGATCTTCTATCTGTTGGTGCACCAGTTCAAGAACTGATGTCCATATGATGATGGTGCTTGCAGGTGGAGGATTAGCCAACTGAGCCATCACAGGTGCCCTAGGAAATAAATTTTTTAAAAAGATGGATTTAGGGGCCTGGTGCAGTGGCCTAGAGGCTAAAATCTTCGCCTTGCACATGCCGGGATCCCATATGGGTACCAGTTCTAATACTGGCAACCCTGCTTCCCATCCAGCTCCCTGCTTGTGGCCTGGCAGTCAAGGATGGCCCCTGCACCTGCATGGGAAGCCTGAAGAGGGCTCTGGACTCCTGGCTGTGGATCAGCGCAGCTCTGGACTTTGTGGCCACTTGGGGAGTAAAACAACGAATGAAAGATCTTCCTCTCTGCCTCACCTTCTCTCTGTATATCTGACTTTCCAAAAAAAATTAAATAAATCTTTTAAAAATGCATTTACTTTTATTGGAAAGGAAGATTTACAGGGAAAAGGAGAGACAGAAAGATCTTCCATCTGTTGGTGCACTCCCCAGATGGTCACAATGATGGGAGCTGAACCAATCCAAAGCCAGGAGCTTCTTCTGGATCTCCCATGTGGGTGCAGGATCCCAATGCTTTGGGCCATCCTTGACTGCTTGCTTTCCCAGGCCACAAGCAGGGTGCTGGGTGGGAAGTAAAGCAGCTGGGAAAAGAACTGGTACCTATGTAGGCTGCTGGTGCTTGCAAGTGGAGGACTAGCCAGTTGAGCCATAGCACCCAGGAAATACATTTTTAAAGAAGCATTAGAGAATTTTCTAGGAAGCTCAGCTCTGCTATGCCTGGGCCTTTGCGGTGGGAGTCAGGATTCTCTCACACTCAGAGAGAAACGAGTGACTTTTTCTCCAAGACTTCCTGAATTAAATCCACGCCCAGTGTGCTCCACTGAGACCCACTCGACTTCTTAGGGCCAAGGGGAAATCCTCCTCACCCCCCGGGTGACAACTTAGACCAACTCTCCTTGAAGAGGAGCTATCTACACAACAGCACCCAGTTAGGTCGCTTCTCTGCTGGCGGGATAGGCTGCCCATAGTGACAGAAGGTTTGATCCCCCAAGTGTGAACATGACCATGGAAGAATAGCTCACTGCTATGAGTTGACTATCATTTTGTCCCCAGATGTGGGTAGTTGGTTCCCAAGGGAAAGGAAGTATACTACAGTGAGGGAATGCAGAGATAGGGCCTTTCGGAAAAGACTGAATTGTTTTGGGTCATTAGGATGGAGCCTCTCTAAATCCTGGTGTTTGCGACTGTAGACACAGATTAGCCCTCACATGCCTTGTTTCTTTGCAAGCTTGTACCACCAGGACACACCATCACTGGAGGCTTGGGCGATGGTGACTGTCTAATTTGGGATTACAAAGCTTCAGAGTCATGAGCCAAGATCAACTTCTTTCCTTTCTAAAGTAGCCAGCTTCAGGGATATCCTTGCCCAGGCACCTTTTCCTTCCGGGAACAAAGGCCCTTGGAAGCTCTCTCCCTCATGCCTGTTGTGTATACCCAGGAAGCTCACACCTGCACACAGAAAACTAATTACACACCCTGCTGAGCAGCTGTCATGAGTAGTAAGGCAACAGTGTTTGCGGAGTTTTACCAACCTCCACCCACCCCTGCTCCTCGCCATGATGCCCTCTCTGTCCTCAGTGCTGCAGTTGGGAAGGACACTGTGGCTGCCATGCCCAGCTCAGTGCAGGGCAGAGTGGGCCCGCTGTGAGTGAAGCCTTCCGCTCTCCGTGCTATGCGTTTCTGCCTGGGTTGCTCCTGATCCCAGGCCTCCCTGTTCAGCAAGGAGAAAAACAGATGCTCAAATTAAAAAAAAAAAAAAAATCTATGTGTGTCAGCTTTACTGGAAATAAAATGTTTTGTAAAACTTCAAATCATTGTCAAATAGACAGAAATCGTAGTTTTCACGATTTTTGTGGTTATTTTCACATTAAATGGATGAAGTTGAACATCTTGTTTTATTATTGTTTATATCCTTTGCCTCATTTCCTGCTAGATTAGGATCTTTTATGTGTTTAGGTTTCTATTTAGTAAAGTCATTAAGCCTTTCACTATAATGCAAATTCGAAATGTTATTTTACAAAAATAATAAATAAAACATGGTTAGGAAAGTGGATGCCCACACAGGAAGCAATAGATGTCCTAGAACCCCCTACTCAATCTCCCGAAATATGACTTGACACCCTCTTTTAAAAAAATAAAATAGGGCCCGACATGATAGTATAGTGGTTAAAGTCCTCGCCTTGCATGCGCAAGATGCCATATGTTCGCTGGTTCTAATCCCGGCAGCCAGAAGACATCACCCCTTACCCCTACAGAAGTAGGATATGGGATTTCAATAGGAGGGGTCTGAGACCATCCAGGCCTGCCGAGGTCTTGGCCACACCTTCAGGTGGGCGGCACCAGCATTGCCCCCACCCGTTTTCTAACTAATTAAGAGACCACCAATGGGGAACATCTTACCTGTAGGTTCGCCGCCCAACAAGGAGGAATCAGGGAATGCTTAAAACCCAAGACCCTTCCTGAAATCTTTGGTGTCTCTCCCTCCCTTTCCAGAGGCACCCCAGCTCCCGGTTTTCTCTCTGGTGGATGGTGCTTCCCCTTCCCTCCCTTCCCTGCTCCCCTGGTCCCTTTGCAAAAAAACTTTTCTGTCTGCAACAGATTCCCAGCTTTTTATTTCTATACTAAACTGAGGAAAGAACCCACTGGGCATTTCTGGTAACAACTGCAACACCACACCGTTGTGTCCTCTGCTTTCCTGTGT